GGAAGAGCCACTCATTCATCCCTCCAATTCCTTACTCAGCAGTGGACAGAAGATCTATTGCTGGTTTGATGCATCAAACAGCATTAAAAAAGGTTAAAATAGGGGTGCCTGGGTGGCTCAGTCAATTAAGTGTCTGACTCAGTTTTGGCTCAGGTCGTGATCTTGCGGGTCATGAGAAAGGGCCCCACATCAGACTCCACACTGATAGTGTGGATCCTGCTTGGGATTCTCTCTCTTCCTCTTTCTCTGCCCCTCCCCTGATCATTCTCTTTCTCTTTCTCTCTCTCAAATACATTTTTTAAAAAACTTAAAAAAATAAAAAGGTTAAAATAATAATAATTAATAATAATAATAATAACAATAAAGAAAATACATCTCCTTGCTTCCTTCTCATTTCCTCTGCTAAAATCTTCAAGGCCCGAGTTGGAGTTCTATCTACCACCCACTGGGATCTGATGCCAGCCTCAAAGGCCTTGTGGTTACCAAGCCTTCTGCTCAGAAGTCCTGGCCACAAATATTGGGATCGAAACTTGGAAATGGGCCATCTAATGAAAGTTCCCCACAGGACCATAGAAAATGAATAAGTATGGTAAGTTGAACTGTTGTTAACTACTGTTCTCAATTCTTTGTGCCCTCCCCTAAATTGAAATTATATACCCACACCTTTGCCATGTGACTTAGTGGTGCCTTACACCAGAGGAGGCAGAGACTGTTTCTGGCCACTGATGCTGGATGTGGCTATGCGGTTTTCTTTAGACAACAGAATGTAGATGATGGTAAAGAGAGTGACCATTTTGAGCCAAGGCCTTAGAGGCATAGAGTATTCCGCTGGCCTCACTTGGAGTTCTGTAATCCACCATGAAATGCCATGCCATGGGTAGCTTCTGGTCTCAGAAGATGACAACGCATGAAGACGACCTGGACCGAACTGAAGCCTGCATCTGAACTAGTTCAGGAGAGATCGGGCCGTCCCAACTGAGTTCAGCCAAACCACAGCCAACCTGGAGATTCACGAATAAAACATAAATATCTGTGTTGTAAGCTATTTGTTTTTGTTTGTTTTGTCTGGCCATGTAGCATTGGTGCAGGAACAGTTGACTGATAACAATAATGAGAACTGCCCAAAGAGAAAAATGTCAGCCAAGTATGTAGCTTTGATGTACAAAAATACATTTATTTTCAACAATTTCAAAACCACTGTCTTTTTTTTTACAGTAGAAATATTCAAATGGAACAATAAAATCAAGAACAGTATATATACATATACTGTATATATAGACATGACTCATGCATTTGTATTCCAGTATTTAGTACAAGTATTGCAATTGTCTGCCCCATTTAACCCTTGAAACAAAAAAGCAGGATCTTTAGAAACGCTCCTTATCCTCATCTATGCTGTAGCCAGTCAGATCTCTCTAGGTCACATTCTCTCGGGGTCTCACAGAGAAGAATGTGAACAATAGCTCACAAAAATCAACAGGTACAAACTCCAGCCTTTCCTCGTGTATATATACAGTATATCATTTTTTAAAACAAGTAGACTCAGGCTGAGCCCGAAAAGAAAACAATGCTTACGGCATGGCTTAAAGTGACCCTATGGAAAAGAAGTAGTGTGTGTGAATGCATGAAGGGGCCGGGGTGCTGGAAAGGAGAAGCTGGCTTTGAAAGCCACTCACCCCAGAGGCAAGAACTATCTTAAGGGAACTGAAGGCAGACATTTGACTTTAAGGAAGTTGTGTACATCTGACAAGCAAATAGCACAGCTTTGCTAAAATCATCTTTGACTAATATCATTAAAGGCTAGCCCCCTATTTGGCCTGCAGGGCTTACATGGACTCATGATGCCACAAATGCCACATCCCTCCCAGCCTCTTGGACTCCTGTGCCAAGACGCGCTCGCTAGGCCTAACCTAGTGCTCAGGGGCTTTTCTGAGCTAAAAATAGCCCAGGAATTCTCCATAAGCATTATACATTTCCATGGAATCTGACCAGAAAGCACAAAGACTGTTCCTCTTAGATGTGTGGCCTAGCTTCTTCAGGGAAAACCACCTTCTCCGGCTGGTAAGTACCCTCAATGCTTTCCTTTTGGAGGGGAAGCCTTGTTTCCCCACCTGGGTCTCAGTTAGAAGTCTCTGGTGGGCTTCATCGTGCAACTTCTTCCACGTCACTGATGGAACAGAAAGACCCTCGTTGTTCTAGGATGTCACTCTAGTCCTTCCTTTACTAATTGTCCCAAAGAAGCCCTCCCCGTCCCGCCCTCCCCCCCTTTATATACATAGGTAGAAACCAGCTATGCATGGACACAGAGATTCAAGAGTTAAGTGTGACAGACAACTGGAGAGCATCCAGAACCCAACACATCTAGCAGGCCTGGGGGTTGGTCAGCTCGGACGGTGAGTGCATAAGCCAACACACGCATCTTTCTTTTTTCGGTTTTCTTTTTTACTAAACATTAAATTATTTCTTAGGAAATAAAAAGCTATTTACACTGTAATTATATACAAGAAGCCACCTGTAGCCTCGCTATCGACATGCACGAGGCAGGGCCTCTTTCATAAAGATGTGCACGCTTTCTGCAGCTACTTTCACTCCCCACCAACCCACCTCCTGCAGATCTAACTGGGGAATGGTTTGTGTTCTAGGGGTGTGTGCTGGGGGTGGGGGGAGGGTGTTGGTGATTGTGGGGGTGGGAAGCAAGACATGGGAGGTTAATGAAAAGCCAACCCAACTTAACAAAAACCAAAACAAAAAACCCAAAAAACAAATAAACGACAAAGGAGACCACAGTAAAAAGAGTCCTCACACTGTCAGCGGCAGAGTAAAGCCAAGGAGGCCACGGGAAGATGCATCCTTTGCCCTCCGCACAAATACGGCCATTTATTCTTTTTGTCTCATTTTAATCAGCTAAGAACGCCTTTGCCTCCCACAGCTAATAAGCATCTGCCTGCTCTTTATGAAGGGGCCCTTGGTAAACAAAAGGTAAAAAAGCCATTTTCATTTTTCCATAACAAGAGTAATAGTAATCATCAAAAATAAGGTCAGAAAGATGGTTGACCACGTGACTTGTGGATATTAAACACTAGTGCAGTTGGGGATCTCCTTTGTGCTTTCGCTGTTTGCAATGGTGGCAATGCCTCCTGCAGGGAAGAGAACACAGAAGGAGAGAGGATGTCAATTTCACAAGGGCAGGAACCTGTGTCTATTTTATTTACTGCTAAATACCAAGCCACCTTGAACAGGTACCTACTATGTATTTATTAAAAAGGACACCTGGACAGGCTATCCTACTAGCTCATTGGCTTATGCCATCTATGTGAAGGTGCGCTATCTCCCACATCAGCACTCAAGGTAGGAGCAATGCCTTGCCCTCTTCCACGCCACTAATGACAACGGTCATAGTCAACGTGCACTGAACACGTACTATGTGGCAGGCACTGTGCTAATGATACACCATCATTTCATTATCACAACAATTTTGGAAGGTAGGTACAATTATTCCCATTTCACAGATGAGGAATGTGAGGTACAGAGGGGTCACAGAGCAAGCAGATTGATAAAGCAAGAAAATGCACCCAGGGCCCTCTGATACCAGAGCCAATATTCATGTGGTTATGAATTACGATATCCACTTTCGCTTCAGAGAAAGAAAGACAAATCCCAACAGTAATGCATAGGTGGCCTTATCCCTCCCCTACTCCAACCCCAGCACTTTCTATCCTGGTCTACTTTTAAGGGGGAAAAAATAATCTACCAATTTCATGTGGCCAGAGGTGGCAGACAAATTTTAAAACATGAGTATGTTTCTGTAGCCAGCTGTTTCCCACCCTGCTCCAGTCTGGTACTAGCTGAGGGACAGGCCACACAAGCCAGCTGACCTCGGGTTTGGAGGACAGAGGACACAGGAGCTTGGTGGTACCAGCACACATACCTATGACCCGGGTGTCCAGCTCTTTGTCCAGCAGTTCCTCAGGCTCGGTGAAGTCACTGAGTGTGATTTTGGGGGCGTTTTCACTTTGGCTCACTGACCCAATCATCTCCTGCTCCTTGTCGTGTTGGACTTGAGCATAGATGTTAATCCAGGGGATTTTCCTATAAAAATCAGATTATGATCACAGGGTACGCCAAACTTGGGCAACTGGGAGATCCTGGGTCATAAGGGGGTGGAAGAAGCTATTTATAGTACAGGCCCATGTCAGGGAAAGGGGCTGGTCATGCCGACACTGCAGCCAGGAGGCCAAGAAGCAGAAGGCCAGAGAGCAGATGGCCCAGTGGAGATGTAAACCGCAGAACTCCGTGAGGGCTGCACCTTCTTCTGGGGTCAAAAAAAACCCAAAAAACAAAAACAAAAACAAAAACAAAACAAAACAGGTGTAAACAGAAGGGCAATGCTGTCGATCAGGTTGCACTAAAACCCTTAATGTACTTATCTGCCATGAATCTTTTCAAGGAGCTGGACTTTGAGACTCAGAAGGTTCTACCACAGTGAAAAGACAGCTTTTCTCTAAGGTTGCATCTACTGCATCAATTTACATTGGTTTCTTTATGAGTAGCCAAGAGAGAAAAGGCTTCCAGCCATTGCTACCATATTCAGAACACCATCCATGGGCCAAATATCTTAAACAGTTGGACAGTTTCCTCATCTGCTTGATGGGAATAACAATAGCTTCCTTTCAGGATTGTGGAGAGGATTAAGAGAAGCGAAATAACTTCCTTCAAAGTCACAAAGGTTGTAGGTTTGGAAGCCAGGCAGAAAGACTTGAGGTTGGAAGAGTGGCTGGTTCAGATTGAAATCTTCTTGGACTCATCTCCTGACCCATCTCCATTATCCCCTGACCCACTGTGTTCCAGTCCTGTGGCCTCCTCTGAATTCCTCTAAGCCAGGGCTTCTCCAACTTTAATGTACTTTTTATCACCCGAGTTCTTGCTAAAATGCATTTGTGACTCTATAGGTCTGTACGCGATGGGGTGAAATTTCTGCATTTCTGCCAAGCTCCCAGGAGATTCTGAGGCTGCTGCTCTGAGCCCCAAACTGTGAGGTGTAAGAATCTAGGACATCAAACTGGTCCCCACCATGGGCACTTTGAACCAGCTGTTCCCTCTAGAACACTCCTTCTATTCTTCTCATGATGGTGTGTCCTTTCTGCCCTTCAGAACTTGGCTCTGAGAGGCCTCTCCTGACCATCCAACCTCTCCTGTTAAAATGATATAATTATGGGATAGTGTTTATGAAAGAAATGGATAGGGTCCTGGGTTTAGGGTAGTGGAATAGTCAACTTTGCCAACTCGTTTTCTGTCTTTGTCTCCATTGCCTAAAAGTCCCATGCGTTCTGGGTCTATGTTCTCTGTCTTCACAGCTACACACACAACTTAGCACAGTGCTTGGCACATGGTTTATCTTCAGGAAGTATTTGTTAAATGAGTGAACAGATGACCTCAAAGCATGTGCTCTTTCTACCTTCATATATTATGTTCTCAAACAAAAAGACCACATTTTCACCTTGGAATATTATATCTAGAAGAGACCCCTCATAACCCATTGAATGACGGGGAGATTGGATTAAAGTCCAGACATTTCACGAAGCTGATCCCTGGCAATGATATTATTAAAACTTAAGGCATCAGGCGCCCATCCTAATCTAGAATGTTCTGTGCCTTTCTAAAGGAGAATCACTCTGTTGCCCTGGTATCAAGCAGCGGTATTTTCAAGCTTCTGTATTCCCTTCCCCACTCCAACCCCAATGAGGTAGAGTGTGGGCATTTAATAAGATTTACTTGTAGCTAATTTGTTAGAAAAGACCCAAAAATGGGGATGAAACATGGGTGGTTTCTACCACTCCTTTTCATTCAATTCTCATTTCCTCCATGGTTGTTTTACATACATTAAGAGAGGTGTCCTTGTGATTCCTACTGGTCTAACCCAGCTTAACATAATTTACAAGAACCTGAAATAAATAGATTCTATGTGAGGCAGCAAACCACAGGCTCTCTAAATACGTATAATTAAAAATTCATGCTGGCCCTTACTTTCTTCTTATCTAAATAGACATGCAGCTAACAACTTAGATTTCTTCTAATCATAAAAGTACATATTACTCATGAACGCTGGGATCAACTGTAATATTTATTAGGTGCTGGAGGCGGTCACACTGTTCCTCATCACACAAGTTTGCAGACTTCAGAGCTGCAGCCAGAGTTCACTGCCTCCCCTTTTCCTGCATTCCTAGTGATACCAGTGAGGATTTGGAAAAATTTTCCCTTATAAAGAATGTTCACTTTCTTGCAATCTCTAAACAACAGGCAGATTTTTTTCAACATTTTCAACAGATGGGTGGAAAGAATTTTATATCATAATGGGCACATTTAAAAAAAACTGTCAGGGGCGCCTGGGTGGCTCATGATCTCGCAGTTTGTGAGTTCGAGCCCCGCATTGGGCTCTGTGCTGACAGCTCAGAGCCTGGATCCTGTTTCGGATTCCGTGTCTCCCCCCTCTCTCTAACCCTCCCCTGCTCATGCTCTGTGTCTCTCTGTCTCTCAATAATAAATAAACATAGAAACAATTTTTAAAAATTGTCAAATTGTTTTTCATTTCTTAACACATGCACTTCAAGGACTGTTGAGAATATCAGACTAAGGCCCATTTTTGCAGGTAAAAAGGTTAACAATTAAGACATTTAGGGGCATGTCTTCACCTCCACATTCATATAGGTTTTAATAAGAGAAGGACGATGGATCAACCCAAGTCACCCATAAAAAATCCAGTTTTTGGGGCGCCTGGGTGGCGCAGTCGGTTAAGCGTCCGACTTCAGCCAGGTCACGATCTCGCGGTCCGGGAGTTCGAGCCCCGCGTCAGGCTCTGGGCTGATGGCTCAGAGCCTGGAGCCTGTTTCCGATTCTGTGTCTCCCTCTCTCTCTGCCCCTCCCCCGTTCATGCTCTGTCTCTCTCTGTCCCAAAAATAAATAAACGTTGAAAAAAAAATTAAAAAAAAAAAATTCAGTTTTTGTTTGCTCCAACTGTAAGTGTTAGGAGCCTGTGGGAGAAGCTCAAAAGTATTCTTGGATAACCAGAAAAAACAAAAACAAAAAACAGATTTACCGTATAGAAAGAAAGTCTTGTTAGGTAGAATTTTCAGAAAATAAAAGCCAGGTCATAATGATTTCTAATTACTGTCTAAAACATTGTCTAAAACTTCAGAAAACAGCTACCCAAGAATAAGATCATATGTGAGAAACAGGGTGATATTTATTTAAAGGAAGCTTGAGGCTGATGGTAGCTGTCTTCTCCTTCCCCTGGTAAGTGACCACTTGGGGCACCGAGATTGTTTTCACTGCCTGGCACACAGTGAACCCTCAGTAAATGTCTGTGGAATGAAAAGGTGGTTTGGTGAGCTAATGCTGATGATTACACAGAGAAAGTTTTGTGTCTGAAAACTCACCATGGCCAGTGATCTGGAAACAGAAACAGAACTGCCCTTTCTCTAGATGTGCTCAATGTTTGCAAACCAGGTGCAGACACTTAAATTTAAATTAATCAAAGTTAAATAAAATTTAAAGTTCAGTTTCTCAGTCATACTAGTGGTTACCATATTGGACAGTACAGGTTACGGTGCATTTAAATCATTAATACCAAAAGTTCTATTGGACAGTAATTAGAGAAACAAAGGAGCCTCTGGGAATAACGGATAAGAACCTGGCCTTTACTTGATAGGAAGCCAGCCACCTCCCATACAGCCATCACTGGAGTTCCAGGTGATGTGGAGGGAAAAAGAGACCAAAGAAATAAAAGAAAATCCAACAGGCCCTCAGCCAAAGAGCTAGAGCATTGAGAAACAAACTTCCAGAAAAGGTAGCTAGAAAAGAAAAGATAACTGATGATTGGTTACCTTAACTGACTCTACTGCTTATCCAGTTTGAGTGGTGTTTGCTTCCTGTAGCTTTAGGTTCATGATTCACTGTCAGGGACACAGAAAGAGTTGGCTGATATTTGGGGACTATAGAGGTAGAGTAATTCAGAGATGTCATTACCTGGCAGAGATTCAAGAATTCTAATGTACACATTTAGAGATGCCTATTTTAATAAGCTGACTGTCTAGGGAGTTTAGTAGAATTTATAAGAGAACAGAAAACTTCCTAAGTCATGAGATGTCTTGCCTTAGTTTGGAGATGCCTGACACAAATACGTTTTGCAGGACTTCTACCTGGCCCTTGTCCTCAGCAAGCATGGAGCTCTAGAAGCCAGATGGTGATAAATTTGGTTTAGTTGATCTTCCAGCTCTAGCAAACATCAGGTTTCCCCATAATCAAATCCTTGGATGAATAAAAGTGGGCTTTGCATGTAAGTGAAGTACATCCACAAATGGGTGTTTCCCTGACTAGTCTGTTTCTATATGGAATCTTTGCTCTCTACTTGTTCCTTTTTAATTTTTTTTTATGTTTATTGTTGAGAGAGAGAGAGCGAGAGAGAGAGAGCGAGAGCAGGGGAGGGGCAGAGAGAGAGGGAGACACAGAATCCAAGCAGGCTCCAGGCTCTGAGCTGTCAGCACAGAGCCCAACACGGGGCTTGAACTCACGAACTGCGGGATCTTGACCTAAGCCGAAGTCGGACGCTTAACCGACTGAGCCACCCAGGCACCCCGCTCTTTACTTGTGATATGAAGGTTTGTGCCCTTCTTCAAAGGAAACATGGGCAGGTGGGTTGACATGTCTTGATCCAAGAGGACATACTGGTCTATTAATTGGGTAGGAAGGTAAACCTCCTTCAGAAGGAGGACAGTGTTGAAGGATTCCTGCTGAGATGTGTACTGAGTAAAACTGGTGTTTTTAAGCCTGAGGAATCCACTAGAGAGCAGCTAAAGAGGGTTGGGGGAAAGGGTGGAGCCAAGCACCTTTCCTGCTGATTTCTTTCAAAATCTAAAAGCATTACCTTCAGGGGCCAGGAAGACTCTCAGGACTAAATTTTGCTTTCAGAATAATTAATGATGTTTTCACTTTAACCAGTATTTCTATGAAGCACTTCTCTATGCCACTGATACAATCTTTTGCGAGCCGACCATGCGCCAGTTAGTGACACAGAAGGGACCTTTGGAAGGCATGTTATCTGTTATCTATCATAGGTTAGCGTTTTTGATTATTTAGTATGTACCAGCTATCAATATTATTACATTTGAACTGTAGAGCAAGCCTATTAAGTATCGTTGTTTTTTCCACTTTACAGATAAAGAGACTAAGGCTTAGGGAGGCAAATCCAATTGCTCAAGGCTACAAATACTAAGTAAAACTTGGGTCTATCTGATTTTCAGAGTTCATGCTCTTAACCAGGACACCTCTTGGTAGAAGTATTATACTATTCAAATAATGGTACAGCATTATTGATTTCAAGTTCATGTTTTAATAAGTATCCTGTTATGTCACCTCTCCTGTGGCCTTCAAAAGTAATATCTGAATACATGTGAAGTTTGGTTTGCCTGATCAACTGCCCTTCAGACACAGGAAAAAGAGGGAGAGGGGTAAAGGTTGAATATTTTTAGCATGCAAATTTACACAGAAAGACCAGGTGGCTGCAACGCAAGGTAAGAAAGCATGTGTGTGTGTGTGCGTGCATGCATGTGTGTGTGTGTCCATGTGTGCACCAGATTTCTGCTGCATTTTGTCTGCTTAATCACCCTCAATGGGTGTTAAGAGGCAGAAAATATCTGAATATCCAAGACTTTACTTAAGAAATTTAGGTGAGGTCTGAAAAATCTTTCCACTTCTCTTGAAGAGAAAAAAAGAATTGATTTCATAGGCTACCCCTTACCTTCCTAACTCTTTATATCTATAAATTGGATAGAGTTCAGATTCTTAAACCCATTTATTCCTTCCTGGACCTTCCACCATTCCTGCTGTCCCCCAGTGCCAAACAAAACTTCAAAGAGAATCAATTTCACATATTTAGGATTGGTGTAGGAACTCTGGTTATAGGAAGAACCAGATCCCATGAATCTAGCCCCAGTATCAAAACTGAGTGATAGTAGAGCATACCTTTTAAACTTGTAGATCAAAAATACAGCCAGGCCGACAAACACCACTGACAAGAGCATAAGCATGGCTGAGCTGCTGTGCCCGGCACTGGAGTCCACCAATGGAGCTAGGAGGAAAAAGAAGATGGCTCACTTGGAAGCTACCACATGGAGGAAGATCCCACTGGAGAAAGGAGGCCAGCTGATGTTCATCCTCATATCCAATCTCCGACTGCCCTGCCCTGTGTGCTATCCGGGCATGGGAAGCTTGGCTTCCATGATGAAAATAGTATCCTCAATCACAGCTTCTTGGGACAAGTCAACTCTTCTACTCTTCCTGGGGACATTTACTGTTCTTGGTATGAGGTGAGCAATGTGTGTCTAGCTAAGGGGAGTAGAAGGAGGGTTTGAATGTTCTTTCTCTTAGCCTGAGTGCCTGTTGACATAATGATGGGTGGCCCATCGGGAACCTTCGATTGAATACTGATGCAGTGTTTCATTCCCCTCCTCTACACTCCTTTTGCTAAAACACTGCAGAGTGGGCACATCTGGAACCTCCACATCTGCAAAGTCTTATATTAATAAGAGCTATAATAGGCTCTCCCAGAGAGCCAGTAGTGGATGCCCAATGGGACATGCCTTTTCAAATTTCTTTTACAAATCAATCACTAGAGCTTGTCTCTGTATCAACTTAGACTTACCAGATGTAAACCAAAGGGTTTGTTTTTTTTTTTTTTTTTTTTTTGTTTGTTTTTTTACATTACCTGATCTGACCTCCCAACCAAGATTCATGGAATTTGAGAATCATAGAAATTAAGAAACCTTGAGGACTATATATAATTTTGACCATGGCAGATTAAAAATCAATCAACCAACCAACCAACCAAGTCAAAGCCTAAGAACATTGTAGGTATTCCCCAAGGTCACACAGGGATTTAATAGCAAAGCCACTTCTAATGAAGTCTTCTTGCCACCTTGACAGGAAGCCCCAAGAAAGATGTGATTAATCTTTCTTGTAACCATCACTACACAAAAGAGCCCTGCCCTCAAAGCTATTTTCAGGGATTTGTGGAGAAGTGTCTGCTGATTATCTCCTCCCTTTTCTTCCCATTTCCCCCTGGATTCCAGCAGGCACTCACCTAATGTCAGTTGCGTGACATACACAATGACTTGAACCCCTGGCTTCAGCTCAAACTGAACCAAGTTTTGGTTTAGAGCATTAAACAGCATCTCTACAATCTGAAAGAGAGAGAGAGAGAGTTTCACAGGAAGACATGAAATGAAATAATGCTTCCTCGTGGAGTAAGAAACCAGGGTCAATAAGCAAACAGTGACCACATTCAATCAGAAGACAGGATATTGGGACATTTTCATCAATTTGGTTCTCACAGCCCTTGGGAGCCCTCTGTGCCCAGGGAAGTAGTTGGTGGTATTTGCTTGGGCTGGAGAGGAAAGTGAGACAGAGAGAGTATGTCCAGAGTTACTTAGTGAATTACAGTTGATAACAGACATGGATATCTCCTTCAATTCCTGGTTCAGTAATTGTTCATCCATGCCTTTCTAATTCACCATAGCACAACCTATTATGAAATGAAAGAACATCAACCCATTATTAGTTCTTTAATCTAATGAAGTAACACACACAGGGCAGAGACACCCCTGCCAGGACTAAAGCAGGCATATATGTCCCCAGCCCATTCCTCTATTTTTTTTTTTTCTTTTGGAGACAATTGAAGGCAGACATCAAAGCAGAAGCTGCCTTCTTTTTATGGGATAATTTTTCCTCTTTACTTTTCCCTAGCAAGTCTCGGAACACATAACATCGATTTAATCACTCTGTAATTCCCACATGAAAGCCGAGGCCGACTTGGGCTGTTGTCCCTAACTCTTATCTGGCTGTACGCGCCTTAATATCACAGCTGCTATTCATCACCGTAATTACCTATTTATCTAAATGGATGGATATTGTAGCTTCCAAATATAGTTCACACATGCCACTTGCTATTTCAGAATAAAGAGGTCTTGTAAAAGTGATGTATGCTTTGAGAAGCTGAATTTATTTCTGGCCAACTTCGATATGCAGCCCTACAAGGCAAGGATCTGCTGCATTTTCCAGAGAAATGGACTGTGCTGGTACCTGTGCAGCTGGAGGATGACTGTGGATGGCCGTATGGAGGAGGGGATGGCCAGGTGAGTAGTATAGGGACAGAGAAGATGTCCTCAGGTGGGAGCAAATGCATGATTTGTGCTGATGTTTAGAAGCCCATTCTTACTTTAAAAAATTATTTATTTTTGAGAGAGAGCATGAGCGGTGTGGGGAGCAGAGAAAGAGAATCTTAAGCAGGCTCCGCATTGTCAGTGCAGAGCCCGACCTAGGGCTCGATCTCACCAATGATGACCTGAGCTGGAACCAAGAGTTGGACGCTTAACCCACTGAGCCACCCGGGCACCCCCTATTCTCACTTTCATTTACTTCTCCTGACTTAGCATCACAGGAGGGCGGGGGCAGTAGGTTAGTGAGGGAAAACCGGCCCCTTCACTTCAAGAATGGTGTGCCCATCACAGGAGCCACACGCCCATTTGATGAGGACAGTAAATCACCATCCCTTCGGACACGCTGCTGCCTTAGTCAAGGCAAGATGAAGCAATCCATCTCTCACCAAAGAAACATGGTTAGAAGCAGTTCATTTTCTCTCCTGAAGCAGAACTGAGGTTGACCGGGATGTTTAAGGACAAGAAGCACATTTTCCTAGAAATAGAAAAGGAAACTCAAATTCCTCCCTCCCCCTCCTGAGTCTCCCCCAGGCCAGGTCACCGGGCGGGAGAACCGAGTAAGTTTGCAGGGATGCCAACTGTTGGAATGAGTGCTGCCAGGGACGCTTTCCCTTCTTGCGCACTGAATGTTCCAGTCTGTGCACTCGCGCTAATTCTGGGCCAGGCTGGCTGCTGGCACCGCCCTGGGGGCTGTGCAGACCCACAGGCTGCTGGGCCTATGGGAGAAAGCTCCCCTCCCTTCGTGGCTGGAAAGATCACTGTGTGCCTTCAGACTGTGGGGGGCAGGCAAGTGTCCTGGCCAAGTGTTCTGTCACTTACTTGTTCCAGGTCCTCTTCATTGCCTTTCCTCCTCTCCGTCAAGTTCTTGGGGGGAAGGATGAAGAGCTCTGCCGAAGTGGGGAGACCAGGGAACACGGCAACTAGGATCTGGTCTTCCGGGACACCGGTTACCTGCAGGGACGTTCAGACCACAGAGTGGAGCCCCGGAGCAACTGGCCTCCCCGAGTCAACCACAAGGAGCAGGGTGCACATGGGTGTAAGGCTCACGTTTGTTTTTTAAACACAGCATTTTAGGCACACATTCCAATATTCCTCTAGGCTTTCTTTCTGTTTCCCCTTAGAAGTGCTATTATTAGTTTCACTACCTCCTTTGGCTCTTACATACATTTATCCTGAAACTAAAATACTATGATGATTTTCAAAATATTAGTTGCTGGGAACAGTGGCTAAAGCTCCTCCCCTCTTTTCCATTTTTCTGCACTAAGAGGACTAGAGCTTCTGGCAAAAACATGGATATGCAATGCAAACAAGGAATAAGAGGTTACAAGCAAATGTGGGGAAACGCAAATAAAAAATTAAAAAAAAAAAACCAAGAAACCCTATTTCACTTACAAAAGCAGGATTTTTTTTTTAAGTTAAAATCACTAATGTCGGGGAGGCTTAAGAGGCTCCCTCATTTGTTGCTGCCAGCCCTACAAATCAATTCACTTTGCCGATTTGCTTTTCAAAAGACTACTTTAAGGCCATAAAAATATTCAGACCCTTCATTTAGTAACTGTAATTTGGAGTGTTTGTCCTAAGGAAATGATCCAAAATATAGAAAAAGCCACACACAGGAAGAAAAACATTATTTGTAATAGCAAATAAATAGAGAAAAACTCGAATTTTCAAAAAAATAAGTAAATAATGGTATAATCATCCAACAGAACGTTATTTTACCATTACGATGATAATTAGTATAGTCAGCCAACATGGAAAAACACTTATGATAGCTGCATTCTGATCTATTTCCTTATATTTCTTTGGTTACAACCCTATAAAAATAAAAATGTATAGGAGTAAAAAAGCAAAATAAAATACTAAAAGTTGTGTTAAGATGCTGAGATCGTGAGTGAAACTTTTTTTATTCCTGAATGTTTAGTAAAAGGATTATATTACTTTTTGATAAAAACTTAAAATTAAGTGCCTCTCTGGAGGCAAATTCCTGAAGAGAACAAAACTCTGAGCTCCCCCTACCCTGGAAAAGAGTATGGTTATTCTTTCCTATGTGTCCCCTGAAGGTCTTTTATCCAGAACACCTCCTCTTCTGCTGCCAATCCAAATAGGGTAGTTTTTGATTTGTCAGAAATACCTGCCTCCTCCAAGAAGTCTCCCCTGACTATATCCACTGGCAGTGACCTCCTCCATGTTAGTCTCTCATGCCAACACTTCCAGATACCATGTCTACCAAGTTTCAGGGACTTAGATCATCTCACCTGTGACATGAATATATCTGGCTGGTATAAGCTTTTCCCTGAGAGGTTCTTATGAATGCTAACCCAGACATTCCTGGGAGTCTTTGTAGTTAGCTCACTGTTCTGATGATGTTTGCAGAGTACAGACTCAATAAACAGTCGCTAGACTGAATAGAAGTGGAGGGGTTGTATTCCATTTGCTCAGCTCTGATTCCTATTTGGGACTAGGCTCACAGATTGGAGTTAATTCCCAGGGATGTGATAAAAGTGAGAGCACCAACTTGCAGAGAACTAACAAGCAGCAATCAGAAACCAGAAGAGTCTACCAGACACAGAGGATCCCTTGGAACTGGCCAGACATCTCCGTTTCCTGTTGGGACGCATGACCCGAAGTAGCTGAAAGTCTTGGTGTCCAAGTCTATGGGGCAAGAAGGCCTCATACTAACCAGCCAGGGGAAGCAAGTCTCCAGAGACCATTCTGGAGGGCAAAGCACAGAGGATCACCCAATGGTTGGGCTGACCCTTTGTCCCAGTGAATAGTGGTCTCAGGGGGTATCAGTCAATTAGCAACCTTGGAGAGACTCTGGACCCATCTGTCTAGATTCACTTAATCCCATCCAAAGGGACACTGAGGGACAGATCCTCCTGAGATTTAAGACCCAGGCATCAATCAACATGTCTGATTATTATTTACTAGTATTATTATTACAATTACCAAGTCATTTGTTAAAAAGTTAGTATGTTTTTAATAAACACAATCATATAAAATACAACAGAATTGTGGATGTTTCTGTGAATAGGCACATAAGATCAGGGGCATTTTCATCCCCTTCTATGAAAAATGTTTTTGTAAAAAGATTTCAGATGAAGAGCATCTGGTAGACAACTCCCCATAGGAATGCTCTCTTAAATCACTCTCTTTTTTTCCTCCTCCTCCTTCTCCTCCCCCTCCCCCTGCTTCTTCTTCTTTCTCCTTCTTCCCCTCCCCCCTCCCCTCCTCCTCCTTCTTCTTCTTCTTCGTCTTCGTCTTCGTCTTCGTCTTCGTCTTCGTCTTCTCCTTCTCCTTCTTCTCCTTCTTCTCCTTCTTCTTTTTCTTCTCTTGCTGGCTCCTTCTCCAGGTCCTTCCCTAGATTGTCCTCCTCTGCCTTGGGGAGCATTGGCATTCATGTCTGCCCTGCATCCCAGTCACCTGGGGGGCCTAATCACCTCCACAGTCACTGCTCCACATTTCTGCCTTCAGGGGGAATATGCACTTGACCTTCAGATCCATAGTTTCAACTCCCCTTGTTATCTCACCCAACTGCTCCTCATGTGCTCCAAACTCACATACAAGATCATAATATTACCGTTCCTCAAGCATGTTTCTCCTACATGGCCTAAGGGCAAGGCCATCACCCCTCTCCTCTTGGAATCAAAAAGCTTCTCTCTCCCTCTCATTCACACTATATTCTATTAGTCATCAATTCTACTGTTCAACTTCCTAAGTGGCTTTTGAATCTTTCCTCTTCAAGATCTTGTTATCTCTGGTCTAGAGAACTATAGCACTCTTTTAACTGGTCATCTTTTGTGAAATTTACTCCCTACCTTATTCACTTCCTACCTCAGCAGCCCAACCTCTGCACTGTTACCAAAATGAGGGTCTGAATATAAATGAATCTATTCTCAGTATTTTTTGCTTAAATAAAATCCAGTTCCCACTGCCTACCAGATGTATGTCAGACCCCTTTTAGCTTCTGTGATGCTTCACAAGCTGCCCTAACCATTCTAGCTCAAGTCTAGTCATACTTGCCTTAGAACCTATAGACTGGCTACACTAAACTCTATCATTTCCCCAATATGCTCCACTCTTTCAATAGTTCATGGCCTGCACATACTGTTCATTCTACCTGAAAGACACCACAAACTCTGTTAACCATTATGTGCTCTTTAAAACAGAGTTCAAGTATTCCCTACAAAGACCATCCTAATAGCTCACAAGTATTTATCAAATCACAAATAATGTGCTAATCCTGCATTTGTCTGGGTAGAGCGAATCCTACTTTTCGTCATGCTCTTTTGTAATGCTGACCATGCCTCTGCCATAGAACTAATCATGTTAGACTTATCTCTGCATTTGAAAACCCATGTTGTACTCATCATTATGTTCTAGTGCCTAGTTCTGAGAAAAGGGTTAACAGAACTGTTTCAAAGCTCTCTAAGGCCATTATGACCTTGGGTTAACTCTAGAACTCTATTACCCTGAAGGTATGTTCTTTATTCTGGCTTGTAGCCTTCTGATCGTCACGTATAGCCAATGGTAGTCTTGTGAGTCCACATATGTGGTTAAGAAACCCCTTTGGTGGGCAAAGAACAAGCCTAGTGAATGATAATATCTGTATAGATTCAATGAGTGCCCCCATCCATTAGTTCATTAAAGGGGTCAAGCTCTTGTCTTAGAAAAATTTGGTATACAGACAGGGCCAATTCCCATCCTCAAACACTGGTTCCCATCTCTCTCTCTGTGTGTGTCTCTCCTCCACTGTCCCCACTTCCCTCCATCCTTGCTTTACCCTCCTGATTCTTGTCTCTCTTTTTACAGAGAATTCTCATATAACTGTAGAATGGTGGTTTTAACCCATGAAAATTTATTCTAGACCAGACACTCTTTTTTTTTCGTTATACACTAACATGTAAGCAAAGATAAAACCAACTTACTTTAACCAGAGCTCTCTTGATGACATTGCCAATATCTTGCCTCCACTCAGGAATGTCAGGGTTGTGGTAATCCAGGTTTGGAGAGAAGGACAACAGTTGGGACTGGAAGTATTCTGCAAGGAGAGAGGGTGTGTGAGTGGGGCTGAGAGAGGGGTGGTGGATTAGCAGATGGCATGATCACTGTGCTTTAGGGAAAGGGTCCAGTCTTCTACGTGGCCTCAACTAAAATTCCTTCTTATCAGTGTGTTTCTTGGCTTCTGAAAAGAAGGTGGAGCTTGGTGACTGGAAGTGGATTTGTGCTCCTACCAGGTAAGAGTTCCTAGCATCTTAACTGAAATGAAAGATAAATATGAAACTCCAGAAGAAGGAGGCATTTGTTACCGTCGGTGGTATCATGTAGAGCCAACGATAAAGTATTTACAACCTGTGCTTGTTTGAATGGAAACTTGTCACTTGCCCTCCCTCATTTCCTGTGACCTTCCTCCTAGAAACTGTCAGGGGATTAGATTGAAACCCTGTGTGTAGGGTGTGGGCCATGTTCAGTTTCTTGATTTGGCTGATGGATACAGAGGTCTGTTTATGTTGTGGCAAGTCATGAAACTAAACACTTATGATCTGTGTACTCTTCTGCATTAAATCTACACTTCAATAGAGGCACCTGGGTGGCTCTGTCAGTTGGGCATCTGACTCTTGATTTCAGCTCAGGTCATGATCCCAGGATCATGGGATTGAGCCCTGTGTTGGGCTCTGTACTGGGTATGAAGCCTGCTTGGAATTCTCTCTCCCTTCCTCTGCCCTTCTCCCTGGCTCACACTTGCGCTCTCTCTCTCTCTCTCTCTCTCTCTCTCTCTCTCTCTCTAAAATAAAAAATTTTTAAAAATGTACACTTCAATAACAATGTTTGCTTAAAAAAGGCTTCCAGCTGCCTGATGAGAGAGCCAGAGTATCAAATTTGCAGAGATGTAGGAAAAGGCACCCACCTGAAGTGAGGCTGAAGAAATATGGTCTGAGTCAGAGGATCACATACCTTAGTACAACCTTTTAGAAAACCCCAGGTATAGTAGTAGTCTTTAGGTGCCTGGGGGAGGTTGTGTGGGATGGTGCTAGAAGAAAATGTGATTAAAATAAATTCAATAGCTAGGAATGGTTCTCCAGGATTGAGAACAGTATGGTAGCCCTATTTACCACTCTTCTTTCTAGCTCTGCCCTCATATTCTTAGTCTTGTTTTTGAGCCTTTGCAGCCAAGGATGTTAGAATTTCCAACAATTGGTTATGTGTAGTTAATCTCAGTAATTTATCTATGAGTTCTGCAAGGTCAGGGGCCATGACTCCTCTTTTGAGATCACTGGTGCCCATGGCCACAAATGGTAGGTGATGCATACATGTTGTAGATACTTCAGCAGGACATCAGGTATAGATGGTTCTATGATAGTCTTTCTAGCTTGGTGTCCTTCCACTTATGATATGTCTTTGTCTAATGAGAACCCTGTCAGGATGTGATGCAGTTACTTCTAGGGGAGTAATAAGGGCTTTTCTATGCCATTCTGTGCCGGTTTCTCTTAACCTCAGTGTCTATTCAGGAACAAGGTAGAAAGTGTGTTTGGAAAACTTGTTGACCTATGTAATTTTTTCCCAGCCTGCGGAATTTCCAAAGCAGTCAGGGATTGCCATCAGGGTGAGCAGAGAGGACTGGTTGAGCAGGAGGGGGCATCACAGAACAATTTTTAGGGCTTACCATGAACAGCGATATCTTTTGTGTCCTGAATAAGGGCATTTCCAGCAGCCACCTGGACAGTGATGCTGTTGGTTCCCTCTGCCAGGAAGGTGAAGGAAATGCTGCTATCCAGGGTGATGAGGGGCTGAAAGACAAGAGTAGGAATACCCACTTAGTCCTCTGTGGGATATCAGATTTTCTTCCTTTCTTATAAATCTCAGACTGTCACAAATCTGCATAGTATTTGTGTATCCCCAAGGGATCCTCACTTGAAAAGGGGAAGAAGAAAATGACTTTTCATAGCTTCCAAAAACTGTGATTATAGCCGGTATCCAGGAAGAGTACTAATATCCTTGAAATGGACTGTAACATGTAATCTTGAAAGATGAAGATAAGATTGGACACTCTGGATTTTGCACATCACTCTGGTCCTTCTCCAGGGGCCAAGTAGAAGCAACATTAGTAACATATTCCAGCTGGCTCTGGAAACAGATCATTTATTTCTCTTCTCCAATATTCTGTGTCAACTGCATTTTCTCCTATATGCCACTGGACTATAAGACCTTTCAGGGAGGTGATCACACTTTATTTACTTCTGTATCTCCATCCTTCTGTATCTCCATCATTGGCACACTGCCCTCATATAGTAGAATATATATGTAAGTTGGATGCATTGTCAGATCACTGGCTTTTTGTTTTATTCTGTGTTTTCCATTGCCAGGCACTCCTAGCATTTTAAGTAGGTTGGAAAACATATAAACATACACATCTATGACCATTTTAGTTATTCTCTTCTGCTTTATTTTCATAACATATGGAGCTTCCCAAGGATAGAAACAGAATAATTATATTATTTTCCTGAGAATTAGGATCTTGATATAATTAGGTGCTTATCAAAGAGAAGAATGAAGATCCCGAGGTTGAAGAGTCATTATTCAGTGGTCATCTTAAGCCTGTGCCTGTCCAAGTTCCTGTTGTTTATGAGATAAGACATAACAGGAGAAGGCTGCTGTAAGGCAGCTCTTAAAGAGAGGTCACAAACACAGATGAGCAGACTCCCTCTCCTCTCTGTATGTCAGGACAACAATGGGATGGAGACCAAGAATGTAGTCAGTTGGGGATGCATAGAGCAGCTCTTTAAGGGGGTGAGTATGGGTCAGCACTTACATAGCACACACATGCACTCTAAACTAGACATGGCCTAGATATGTGTGTCAGAGCCCTGCAGAGGCTCAAAGATGCAGCTTTCAGGCAGTGTCTCTGCAGCAAGACTGGAATTCCTTTCTAGCTCACAATTTTCAAGTGGGCTTCTGAAACATAATTTGATTTCTTCTGCTTTAAAATTCTGGACTCAGACAGACTACCACTGCACCACAAGTATTATGCTAAGTAAAATAAGTCAGTCAGAGAATGACAAATAACATATGATTTCATTCATATGTGGAATGTAAGAAATAAAACAAATGAGCACAGGGGGGACAAAAGAGAGAGGCATGCCAAGACACAGACTCTTAACTACAGAGAACCAATTGATGGTTTACCAGAAGGGAGGTGGTGGTGGGTTAAATAGGTGATGGGGATTAAGGAGTGCACTTGTGATGGCAGCGAGTAACACACGGAGGTGTTGAGTCACTGTATTGTACACTTGAAGTAATATTACACTGTATGTTACCTAACTGGAATTTAAATTAACAATTTATTTAATTGTATGCTTGAAACTAATATTTTGCTGTATGTTAGGTAACTAGAATTTAAATTAAAACTTAAAAAATAAAATAGAATAGAATAGAATAAAATAAAATAAAATAATAAAGTATAAAATAAAATAAAAATAAAATTCCGTAACTCCATTATTTTATGGCCAGGCAGATAGCTGGAGTTGGGCAAGATTAGAGATATTGCCCTAAGCTTGTGACACACTTTCTTTTTTGTTTGCTACATGAAAGAAGTGAGTGTAGAAATAGATACACTCTTTCCTTTAAGGACAGATCCCAGAGTTCAAGTATTAAGACTCAGCAACAATATACACAAAGGTACAGCCTTCTGAATAAAACAGTGAATCAGTTGCAAGTAGGTTCTGTGATGTATGTCAACTCCCATGGGCAGATGGTTGGTGTTTAGTGTCCTGTGTTGAGAAGGAAGCTGAAGTCAAGTTGGGTTCAGTACACCAGTGTTGGCCATGACCATGGAATAACAATATGTACACCACAGAACTGCCATCTCTAGTGTAAGAAGAACAAAGATTTGAAACTCTGGCTTTATTAAATTAATGTTGTAATAAATTACCTTGGGCAAAGTTTGTCCCCATTATGGGCCTTCGTACTTTATCTGTTAAACGAAAGCTTTGGGTCAGAAGAGCTGTGAGAACTTATTCAACAATCAGAATACAGAGGATTGATGAATGGCTTTTGGCAAACTTTCTAGTCCCTACTGGTCAACCCATTCCATCTTATCTGTTAGGAGACTTTCAACTGCTTCATTACCTAGTCATATTTTGTGGACATACCCAACTGAATGGCTAAATTTTCTTTAAAAATGATAATATAAAACATTAATAAGGATGCAGAGCCACTGGAACTCTCATACATTTTTTGGTGGGCTGTGAAATGACACAACAACTTAGGAAAAAGTTTAGTTTTATAAGAAACTGCAACAATTTTTCCAAAGTAATTGTACCATTTTCTGTTTTATGACTTAGCAATTTCAGTCCTGAGAATTTAGTCAAGAGAAAAAACGTATGTCCACAAGTAAACAAAAATGTTCATGGAAGCTTATTCATAATAGCCCCAAGATGGAAACAGCCCAGGAACTCCCCAATAGGAAAATAATAAAAAAGCCATAGTGTATTCACACAATGAACATAAAGGAAAAAAATACTGATATATACAACAGCCTAGATAAATCCCAAACCTATAAGAAAGAAACCTTACATAAAAGAATTCATATGGATGAAGTTCTAGAACAGGCAAATCTAATCTATGATGGAAAACAAAGCAGCGGTTGGTTTTGGGGATTGGGGGTGAGTATTGACTAAGAAACGGAATGAGACAACTTTTTGGAGTGATGGTAATACTATGTATTTTGACAGGAGTTTGGGTTACATGTGAATGTGTTTGTCAAAACCTAGAAAGTGCACACTTCAGATTTGTGCATTTCATTATTGATACATTTTACACTGTCATGGGGAAGCAAATACTGCACTCTAGTTAATGACTTGCAAGCTTAAGCATCGAGGACAAAGTATATGGGTGTCTAAATTTGAAATAAGTCAAAAATTAAGATCGATTGATGGATGGACAGAACAGAAAGAAAGACAGACAGGTGATAAAACAAGCATAGTAAATGTTAATGGTAGCTACAGCTGGTGGGTATATGGATGTTCCCTGTAAAATTATTTCAACTTTAGTGTATATTTGAAGTTTTCCATAATAAAATGTTGGGAGAGAAAACATGAAAGGAACAATCAATATGATTTTACTTTTCCTGATTCCATGAATGACTCTCTCTGATCGTGGCTATATTCTATTGTCCTCCATTTTGGTTCTCTACCCTCAGCTATCATCTTCCCACCTCTCATCACCAGGCATTTTTCTACCTTAACAGTGTTCTCTTCATGAAACGTTCACTACTTCCTTGTCATCTTCCTTAGCTGTCAGCGGTCTATTTGTGCCCCCTTCCTTTCTCTACACACTCCTGTAACCTTAGACTTGGGTAGCTGCAATCTGTCAGGCAAAGGCACCTCTTTTGAGAGTGGTGAAATTCCTCTTGTCCCTGAATATTTGATCTTCTCTCCATCTGGCTGTTTCCCTAGGAGATCCAGGGACCAAACAAGGGTGCAGGGCTGCAGGACAAAGGGAATGCCATCTGTGGTGGGAGAGAGTGTGCTATCCTACCAACCAGTCAGGGCTCTGAGTCACAGCAAATAGTGCTGAATGGGAACACTTGGTCCCCAGATGGCAGACCACAAGCTTCCATACTAGGGAAGAGGCAGGAGCTAATTTTGTTTTCCAAATTGCTTTTGTTTTTCATCAATTGATATGGCATCATGGCTGATTTCACCTTCCTTGCAAACCTGGAACACTCAACAGGATTCCTGAATTCTTTGTTGGCTACTGATATCTAGTGCGCAATGCTAAATTAAATCAAGTATTTTAAGGTTCATTTACTAAATCTATTAGGCAAGCAGACACATTTATTAAGCCAGACCTCTGTTAATCCCAGCAAATTGGCCTTTCAGAGCCCTACAAATCTAACAGGCAGCCGATTGACTTCTCTATCTCTGTGCCTTGTCCAAGCTGCAGTGGCAGCCCACAGTGAGACCCTTTGGAATAATACCTCATTCCTGCCTGGGTTGTGGGATACATCCCTGCCCACAGAGAATCCCTCATGTGTGACAGGTCACATATTATCCACTGAGCCCAGAAAGATATTGACAAAACTCTGAGTGACTATTTAGTTATGACATTTCCACTTGACTAATGGAACAAGGAGTTTCAGGGAAACCTTTGGATGCAGCCTATACCAGTTTCCCAGATGCTGTAAGTCAAGTTAATATTGAACATAATAAAACCTCTACAATTTAAATATATACTTTTATAAAAGCTACCATTCCCAAATTGGAAAGACTATGCAATGACTATGCCTGCCTTACTTAAAACTTCAGCAGATTATATAGTTACATGTAAAATGTGTTCATCATATGAAGTTGAAAAGGTAGAATACATAATTGAGGATATACTATGATTGGACCTATGTAAAAAAAACCCCTAAAATATACACAAAGACCAGCAAAATAGCATCTATACAGGTGTTAGGACTAAGGAATTAATGTGAAAATTCATAGGGGAAAAAATTCACTCAAACACACAACACACAAACACATCAAAAAGCTCATCAAGGGGCGCCTGGGTGGCGCAGTCGGTTAAGTGTCCGACTTCAGCCAGGTCACGATCTCGCGGTCCGTGAGTTCGAGCCCCGCGTCAGGCTGATGGCTCAGAGCCTGGAGCCTGTTTCCGATTCTGTGTCTCCCTCTCTCTCTGCCCCTCCTCCGTTCATGCTCTGTCTCTCTCTGTCCCAAAAATAAATAAACGTTGAAAAAAAAAATTAAAAAAAAAAAAAAAAAAAAAAA